AGGGAAATAGGACATATAATTACGTGAATAATGATACTAATATAGTAGAATCAAAACTGCATTGCATTTTAGAACTAAATTAACAAAAAAATACGTAGTACACAGTGATACTAGTTCGCGCAGCTATTACGCAACCCTCTCCCTACTTCCCCGCGGGACGAAGGGAAAGAGCGCAGGCGACGCGGGATTTTTAGTCTCAGGCATAGTATAAAGAACAGTACGGATGCGTCGTGCGTTACAGCACACAACTGCGATGCGTAAGGTAAGACTTGTATCATTTTACACGAATTTTGTAATAATTTTGTTATTTAAATGTTTACAAAGAATATGTATTTTATAGTGATTTATGAATTCAATAATATTTGTCGTATTACACAGTATTTTATAAATACCTATTTTGAAACAATATTAATTAATTTATAAAAAAATATCTAATTTTCGATTATTAATTATGATAATAATGAAACATTTAGTAGTTCCATCAGAATGGAGTTTGGAGTAGACAAGTGTGCGGTCATGCATGTAAAGCGAGGAGGGATTGTGGAATCTGAGGGACTAGAACTCTCAGATTTCACAAAGCTGAGATCACTCTCCGCAAACGATACATACAAGTACCTGGGTATGTCAGAAGGATTAGGCATTAATGGACCGGACATGAAGCAATCGTTACAGGAGCGCTTCTTTGGCCGCCTGAATAAGGTACTGAAAAGTTTCTTATCAGGCGGAAACAAGGTGCGAGCCTTTAACGGTTGGGTCATGCCAGTCCTAATGTATTCTTTTGGTATACTCAAGTGGACACAGACTGAACTTGACACCCTGGATAGACGAGTCCGGACCCTGCTGACTGCAAATCGCATGCATCACCCTCGTTCGTCGGTCATGAGGTTGTACATCCCGCGGAAGTGTGGTGGTCGAGGCTTATTAAATGCTAAGACCCTTCACAACCGTGAGGTGTGCAGCCTCAGGGAATATTTCCTGAAAGTCAACGAGGGTATGCATCGAGAAGTAGCAGCGGTGGACAATGGATTCACTCCGCTATCCTTGGCAAAAGAGAACTGGCGCAAACCTGTTGTACTGAGCGTCAATGATCGCAAGGAGGTATGGCATAGCAAGGAGCTCCACGGACGCTTCTTCCGGGCCCTTCATGGGCCCAGTGTAGATGTTATAGCGTCTGTATCTTGGCTACGATTCAGTAATCTCTTTGGAGAAACTGAAGGATTTGTCTGTGCAATTATGGACGAAGTTATCCTTACGAATAACTACCGGAAATATATAATTAAGGATGGGACGGTTGACATATGTCGGGCATGTCATAGTCCTGGTGAATCCATTAGACATATTATTTCTGGTTGTGGTCGTTTGGCTAACAGTGAATATTTGCATAGGCATAATCAAGTAGCCAAGATTATCCATCAGCAACTTGCTTTGCACTTGACTTTCATCGACTTGTTGCGTCTGAGGTACCGTACTACAAGTATGTGCCCGACCCAGTTCTGGAAAATGACCATATCACGTTGTACTGGGACCGGTCTATCATCACTGACAGGACTATTATAGCGAACAAACCTGATATAGTGGTGATAGACCGACAAGTGCGCCGCACGATGATAATCGATATCGCTATTCCTCATGATGAGAACCTCGTGAAAGCTGAAAAAGATAAACAAATCAAATATCTTGATTTGGCTCACGAGGTTGTCGACATGTGGAATGTAGATTCGGCTATCATTGTGCCGATAGTCGTATCGACCAATGGGTTAATCCCTAATAGCCTCGACAACCACCTTAGGAGGCTAGCGTTAGGCAGTTGGGTCAAGGGCCTGATACAGAAGGCAGTTCTCCTTGAAACGGCGCTCATTGTTAGGAGGTTTCTGTCTCTGGAGCCCTAACCACTGGTAGCTTGGACCATGCTTCCACTACTGGTCGGCTCCTATCTTTATATTTTTAAATATTATTTTTATACTGTAGTATTTAAAAATGTAATTTTAGAGAAAGTTTAAATAAATATATGGAAATGATAATAATAATAATACAGGTAGGCTAACAATTATTTTAATTCTCATTTATTAAATGTATAATAGGGATAGGCACACGTTGTTGTTAATCAATTGTCAACAATACTTTTAATCAAAACATTTTTTTTTAAGGGGGGAAAATCATCGAATGACTGCTCCCGCCTGGGTGAGGCGGAAGGGAGTGTCAGACTCTTACTGACTAAAAACCACCCCGTTCCTTCTCCTGCACATCGAGCCGGAGCCCCGGTTACCCGTTAGATTCTCCGCGACTCCGAATCGGCATCGGCCCTATTGGGCCCCATCTGTGGTGGTCTGATGGCTCTTTGAGGCGCGCGCGGAACGCGATTTCATACGATTTAAGACTGATTCGATCTCCGTTCAAGATTAACGATAAGTAGGTTTAAAAGTTGTGTTTTTTTAAAAGGATGTTATATTGTATTTTATAGGGAATTGTTGAAGTGCTATGTGTACAACACGTATGTTATTTGATTTTTTGAGACTGATTAAATAAGCTATAAGACTGTTTAAGATTAATAATAAAGAGGTTTAAAAATTATATTTTTTTATAAGGATGTTAATTATATTGTTTTATATAGCGAACAGTTAGTGCTACAACAAATCTGTTGTTTGATTTTTTGAGCTTGTTTTATTATGTTTAAAGACTAAAGATACCTACTCGAAAGATCAGATTAACGATAAATACCAATAATATTTTATTGTTTTGCTACTAATTGTAATTCATAAAAAGTGTACATATATTCAAGAATTCTTTATTAAAGAAACGCTTTTTTTAATTAAGTTATTATTTTATTATGATATTAACATATTTTTACCCTTTCTATGACAAAAACGTTTGAAAATACTTTTTACTTGTATCAATAAACACGTCGATGTAAACAAAATGTGTCACAATAAATTCTAGCTTGTAACATTAATCACTTACTAGTTTGAAAAATACATTGGTGTTTAGGGGTACAATTGAATATTTACGAAGGAATTTTAAATAAAACAATGAAAAAAGTTTGCTGATAATCAAAATGATCATATTAGTTTTACGACTTTTTCTCACAACAACTATTTGCAGGCAAAACATGCCAAAACACAAGCCCTATAACATTTCACACAAAACGGTAACTAAATGTGTAAAATAATTCATTTCATTATAGATTTAAATACACAAAAATAAGCAAAGTAAACTATAGTGTACAGTGATATAACTGGCTATTTTTACTAATTACTTAAATTCCGTGCAAAGTAATATTTTCAAACCAAGCTCTATATAATCTTTAAAATAGTATCTACACGTACTACATATCATTTTTTATTTTAGAACGTTAGAAAAATAACGAGATTTTTTTAAATCTTTAACCTTAAATTACTCAAAACTATGATTTTTCACTTATATCACTTTTCACTGAAGGTACAGAATTATAGGTCACTACTTTGTATGGGCGATCAAGTTTTAATATATTTTTAAATGATAATTGATATTTTACTCACTGCTGGGAATCAAATCCGGCGTTTGACGAATGATCGAATTAAACCTACACACGGCCACAATGTCGTGGTGGCCCGGAGGTTTGAGAGGCCCACTTCTCATGCATGAGGGTGCGGGTTCGAAACCAACGGCAAGTACCAATGTGCCTTTTGCCGAGTTATATGTACTTTCTAAGATTGTTCAGACACCACTGACAAACGGTGAAGGAAAACATCGCGGGGAAACCTGGACTTATAATTTCTAATTATAAGTTTGAAATCGCCAACCCGAATTGAGCAAGCGTGGTGATTAATGCTCAAACCTTCTCCGTGTGAGAAGAGGCTTTGCTCAGCAGTGGGCATTTATAGGCTGTTGAGGACGGCCACAAATCAACCTATACAAAACCAGTTTATCCTGGTGTCGCGTCGCATCATCTTTCCGCACATTGAACGTTCAGTTTATACTGGTTATGTAAAGCTCGATGTGTAGCCGTGTGTATGTACCAAAGCCAAGGACCAATGTGACTTTTCCAAGTTATATGTAGGAACCTACTTTTTATTAAGATTATTAAGACACCACTGACAAACGGTGAAGGAAAACATTGTGAGGAAACCTGGGCTTATAATTTCTAATTCGACTCCACAGTTGCTGCGGTGGCTGGGCAACTGGCTGCTACACAACGTGTCGCGGGTTCGATTCCCGCAAGGAATAACTCTTTGATCATAGATTGTTGTTCCGGGTCTGGGTGTCATTTGTATGTGGAATTGTATGTTTGTAAAAGCACACACTATACGAGAAAATCCTAGTGTGGGGCAACGATTTTTTTTAAATACATAACATAACATCACGCCTTTTTATCCCCGAAGGGGTAGGCAGAGGTGCACATTTCGGTACTTAGTGCCACTGTACAATGTAACACCCACTTTTCACTATTTATGTTATGAGTCCCATGTAATAGGGGGTGAGCCTATTGCCATATACCGGGCACATTTCCACACTCCGTGCTACTACTGAGATTTTAAAAACCCAGTAATACTTTGCCCGACCCCGGAATCGAACCCGAGACCCCTTGCCGCCGAGTCGCACTTGCAACCACGCGGCCAAGTTTTTTTAAAATGTAAGTTTTAAACCGCTTATCCGTATTGAGCAAGCGTGGTGATTAATGCTCAAGCCTTCTTCGTGTGGAAAGAAGCTTTCCTCCGCAGTGTGCATTTATAGGCTGTTGATGTTTACGGTCAAAGGTCAAAAGTCCACTGCCACCGTAAGACTACTATCGGTTGCGCTGCAGCGCTTATACACACATGCACACGCATATTTTTATCCGTGTGCGTACGCGTGCGTGTGTTTATGCGTACGCATGCGTTTTTATGCACATTAATATGAAATTACTTACGCATTGCCGTGTGAACATCACTCACGGTGGTAGTGGACTTTTGACCTTTGACTGTACATACAAAATAAAAATACGATTCCAAAAAACAGTTGCCATAAAGAAAAAAATGACTTACCTCTCCTCAACAGTCAAATTTGCAAGCTCAGGCACCCAGCACCAATGTTCTTCAGGCGCAATAGTCATAAAAATTTGCGAAAAATATACAAATGCGACGAAAAACGCAAACGGTATCATGAGTAGAAACAGTATCTTCTGATACAATCCGAATTCCCCAACATATGGCAAAAGATCATCGAAATCCGTATTCTTCTTTTTTTCTCCCTCGTTTGGGGGTAAATTTGTCGGTGTGGCAACATCTGTACTGTCATTCTCGTACGCCTTGTTGACGAAGCCTCCACTTAAATCTATGTTAGATAAATTATTTGATGTGTTTTGCGTATCATCTTCGGAGACGTATGCAGTTCTTTCTTGTGGTGCCATTTTTAAAAATTTTGCATAATCTTCCGTTTTGTTTTCAATTTTGATCTGTAACAATAAGAAATTCATGGTTAGTTTGATTATAAAATAAATTCAAGATACAGTCTTTTTTTTAAACTGTCAAACACCGCGAGGACAGCGGTGACCGCCACCTATTGTTCTTTAATTGTGTCTATAATGACGGTACTCAAAGGGTTAATGGGTCAAGTCCGCCACAATCTCCCATAACCGCTGCAACTCCTGTAAGCCGGGATACACAGTAGATACAACCATGAACACACCGAAAGTCCGGCACGTCCCAGGGACATGAATAACTGTCTTGGTTCCCGCAACGAAGTGAATCAGAAGATATTATAAGAGGAGAAGAAAAAAATGATAGTTTCCACTTCCCTCGGTCAATTACTGCAGAAGGCAGAATGAATCCTTACTCCTTACTTATATTATAAATCGGAAAGTGAGTTTGTTTGTTTCTTTGTTTGTTCCACTTTAACGCCGTAACTACTAAACCGATTGCTTTGAATTTTTGCAGATATATAGTTAGAAGTCCGGATTAAATAGGGTACTTTTTATCCCGGAAAAATTTGATATTTCCGAGGAAAAATAAAAATATTGGTATAGATGGCGCTGTGTGTATTGGTATATGTCACATTGGCTTTTTATCCTTTTGTGACGCAAGCGAAACCGCGGGTAAAAGCTAGTTAAGCATAAAGGCACAAAAATGAGACAGTACAACTGGGTGAAGCCCTGCCGCCAAGCACCATGGAAATTTGACTAAAAACTAAGTGGGTTCTATGTGTGAGCTGTTATACTTGCTTCCAATAATAAGTATAGCAAAAGATACAGGGTATTTCATTTTGAAACTCAAAGGCATAATTATTAAAATGTTTTCACACAACTGAGACTGCCTCGTTGACCGATGATAGATTATATTCCTAAGATTTTCCATAATACAAACTTTTAAAACACCTTTGCCTAGCCTGAAATCGAACTTCAGACATTATTAGAACCTCTCGACCAACAACGCGTTCACTAGTACAATAATGACGTCATAACAGTCGCGTGCGCATCACCGGACCGTGAATGAACACCGTTTGTTTGATTTTTTAAAAAGTTTCTTGTAATTTCGACTTTATTTTTTTGTGTACAAAGGTAGATTTACCTTGGTATTGAGTAATCGTCACGTCTTAAAATAAACATAACATCACGTCTTTTATCCTCGAAGGGGTAGGCAGAGTTATTTGGTCGGTCCGATGATGAGGACAATATTGAACATTGAATAATGTATCTATTGTTTAATTTCGTTCTTAATTCTCCTTATTATTACAAATTATCTCTAATTTTGTTCTGGATTATAGTTCATTGTAAATAATTATTAATAAATAAATACTAGTCGTTGCATGTCATGCTGTGTGCACATACTTGTGGAAGCATGGTCTGCCATTTACAGTTTGGTATTGTTATTCTGTTGTGTATTTCGCTGTGTTTCTGTTTTGTGTACCTATTAAATAAATAAATAAAAAATAAAAGAGGCGTACATACATTATTCCACTGTACAATGTAATCACTTTCCACTATTTATATTACAAGTCCCATGTAATAAGCGGGGAGCCTATTGCCATATACCGGGCACGATTCCAGACTCCATGCTACTAGGTACTGAGTTTTTTTAAAAACCCCAGTAGTACGTTGCCCGACCCGGGAATCGGACCCGAGACCCCTTGCACTTTCAACCACTCGGCCAACGAGGCAAACAGAAAAGCATATGTGAATTGAGGATTTGTGACAAATTTACAATAACCCTCATGAACCTGTGACGAATTTACACGTATTTCATACAATATGTGACCAATTTACTTTCAATGTATGGATTTTTTTTAAATGTGACGAATTTACTTTGTGACGAATGTACAATAACCCGTTCTAAATTACACCCAGATCCCTTCAGTCGTTTTAAAGTGATTAAGTAACAAACATAGATACAATCACACCAACTTTCACATGTACCCAATAGGATATGAAGTATAATTTTTCTCAGCCAAAAAAAGTCCAACTTAAAAATGTACCCAACCCGGTAATCGTACTTAAAACCTCGCACAGCATAATAATGTTATTTAACGTTCTAATGACCTTGAGTGTACAGAATGCTGATTATATCATAGTTTCGAGTTAGGTAAGGTCATGGATGATGCTCATAGACTAACAATTGACTGTGGGGGTTATTTTTTTTTAAGGGGGGGAAATCATCGAATGACTGCTCCCACCTGGGTGAGGCGGGAGGGAGTGTCAGACTCTTACTGACTAAAAACCACCCCGTTCCTTCTCCTGCACGTCGAGCCGTAGCCCCGGTAACCCGTTAGGTCTTCCGCGACAATAAAAGGCGTTATGTTATGTTTTTGTAAATACAATAAAAACTCGATAAAAACTATCTACAATTTATTTTGTTCTCACGCCCTCAGTTAAATTGACCACGTAAGTAGTTAGTTTAACAGTTGCACAATAGAGGTCATTCACCCTGACCCAGGGACAAGATAACTTGAGTATTTTTACAAAGCTTGAGAGAGCCGTACTTCAGCACGAATGGGCCGGCTCGACCGGAGTGATACCACGGCCGAGCAGAAGACCGACGTGAAGCAACGCTTGCGTTGTGTTTCGTCGCGTGAGTGAGGTTACCGGAGGCCCTATTACGCTCCCTTACTCTACAATCTCCACAATCCCTGAATCCCCAACAATCCACAAATTCCTAATCTCTAAAACGCCGGTAGCGCACTTGTAACGCCTCTGGTGTTCCGGGTGTCCATGCTCGATACCGATTGCTTACCATCAGGTGATCTGTCTGCTCGTTTACTGGCTTATCATACACAAAATATTTAACTGATTGGGTTAACTTATTGTAATTGTAAGTGAGGCTTGGTAGGTTCGATTCACGAGTTGGGATGGAATACCATTTTTTGGTTTTGCTTAATAGTAGTGTGGGTCTGTCACTGTGTCCGGTACATTATAGGTTTACCCCTAATTGCAAGGCATAATTAGGCAGTTACTGATGAAATGTGGTAGTTTCTTTGTATAAAAAGTAGAAGCATAACATGTTGGTTATTCAAGGTTCGAATCCCGGGCCATACAATTTTTTTTATCAGTATCAGGCTATTCCTCATATCCACAGAGAAGAAGCCGCCTAAAAAATTGACCCAACCTCAAAAAATCTCCTAAAAAAATTAACCCACCCACCCATCCAAAAATTGACCTCGAAAATTTGCTTAACCTCTATAAACTAATCGATGCGCTAACAATAGATAAACCAGTCAAATCCCAAGGTCATGGGTATCGCAGTGAATGACCAGTTACAACATGAACCTTGATTTGTTACGAGGTTGGAATTATACACGTAATGACTTCAACAGCTTAAACTGACCTAGGTTAAAATGTCTATTGTATTCTTAATATTTAATTTTACGCTTAATACTGAGTGAATCTAATTTGATTTGTGATCAAGGTTAAGTAAGGTTTGTGTAGAGGTCAATTTTTGGATTGGTGGCAACTTTTTGTCATGTTATATTAAGTCAACATTCAGGTGTCGAAAAGCCATGGTTCGGCACGAATGGGCCGGCTCGACCATAGACCAGGGCCTCACAGAAAACCGACGTGAAACAACACTTGCTTTGTGTTTCGTAGTGTCTCACTGTAGAGTTACCGGCCTTTTGGTGATTAGGTTTTTTTTTTAGTTTATTTTCAGTTTATAATTGTTTAATTCTATTTTCTTTTTATTTATTTTTATAAACTTATGTTTAGCTGATGTCCTTGGTATAGTAGGATCGCCTACCACAAGCATTTTCTTGCTTACCAGATTTTTTCCTAATATTTTGTTGGTATGTGCATAATAGTTGATGAAATATTTTTTTTTATTTTCTTTTTTGGGGTTAGGTATTTGAGGATTGTTGGGGATTCAGATATTGGGGAACACTACGATACAACGCAAGTATTGTTACCGAGGTGTGTGGTAATCTGGTACCGAGGTAAGTGAGGTTACCGGACGCCCAATTACACCCTGCCCAATTTCCCCAATCTATGAATCCCCAACAATGCTCAAATTCCTAATCCCTAAAAGGCCGGTAACGCACTTGTAACGCCTCTGGTGTTGCAGGTGTCTATCAGCGACGCCGATTGCTTACCATCAGGTGATCCGTCTGCTCGTTTACTGGTTAATTCCATATTTCGGCGTTCCAACTGTATATGTAAGATCACCGCTTAAAAAATTCAGATTGACTGCACGGTTGGTGCGGTGGCTGGGCAACCGGCTGCCGTGCAACGTGTCGCGGGTTCGATTCCCGCACGGAACAACTCTTTGTGTGATCCACAAATTGTTGTTTCGGGTCTGGGTGTCATTATGTATGTGAACTTGTATGTTTGTAAACGCACACACGACACAGGAGAAAATCCTAGTGCGGGGCAACGTTTTAAAAAAAAAACAAAACAAAACAAACAAAGATCATAGATGGTACAGATTTATCAGAGAGCGCTGCTGCCCGATCTCTGTTAAATGTGTAGTCCAGTAATCAGCTCTTTCGGCAACCGAGGGAAGAGGGTACAGTCAACGACGCGTCATTTGACGTATGCATGTGCAGTCTACAAATGACAATAGGCGGCCTACAATTGCCGCTTCGTAGACAATTTTCATTGTATTCCTAAGCAAGCCTCGATGGCCGAGTGGTCGCAAGTGCGACTACCGGGCAAGGGGTCTCGGGTACGATTCCCGGGTAGGGCAAAGTATTAATGGGTTTTTTAAAAAAAAATCTCAGTGGTAGCACGGAGTCTGGAAATGTGCCCGGTATATGGCAATAGGCTCACACCCTATTACATGGGACTCATAACATAAATAGTGAAAAGTGGGTGTTATTTCTGTGTGCACTACCTACCGTGGGGATAAAAGGCGTGATATTATGTTATGTTCAAAGTAAGATGCAAGCATTTGTTATGATGTTATCTAATGCAAGCATTTGTCATTTTCA